GTAGGCTACAGCGAGCAAGAAAGCGAACCTCCCAACTTCATTTCAAGAAACTCTGATATACATAAAGAAATGCGTTTAACAGTCATACTGTACCACTTTGTATCTAATCAAAGACACAGTGCTGCAGGTACCCAGGTGGATCATTCTGCCTCAGTGTGACACGTTGGTCTGTGGCCTCATCACATTCACACCAGGAGTTTTTTCCCACCATGAGTTCCAAAAATGGATCAAATCTGCTGCTGATAAGTTTTCTTTCCACAATTCGCCATCGCCTACGCCTCAAACACAGACAAGCCACGAAACAACATTAATCTTTTACATTACAGGTCATTTAGCAGACGCTTTCATCCAAAGCGACTTACATTACACTTTAAACCCATGGCTTTTTCACATTTTTGCCTGGGGAGCAATTAGGGGTTAGGTGTCTTGCTCAGGGACACTTCGACATGGAACATGGGGCAGTCTGGAATCGAACCAACAAACTTATGCTTCCCAGCACACCTTCTCTAAACCCTGCGCCACGACGACCAATCTTTCTTATTAGACTTTACTTCCTTCAAAAACCACAGTGGCGATCATCCATTTTTCTGTTTTAAGGCACTGTTAGAACAAAAACTGAACAGTTTCACAATAGCCTCTCACCCACCACAGTTTAGAGCTTTTTTTTTCTCTTTTATTGTGCCGTTTGGCTCTTTTTTTTGTTCCGCGTTGATTAGACCTCGGTGCTGTGAAACGAGGCAGCGGACGTGGCCGTCGTTCGCAGTGCACAGGATGGGATGAGTGACACATCAAAGGCCGACAGGGAGCCGAATCAAGCACCTTCTGCCTATTGCGTGAGGCTGTTTTTAGCTGGTTCGTCAGATACCCTGCAGGCACGGATTGGTGACAGTGATTAGCGCCTGATGATAAACTGTGTTTACTCTGGCATTTGAAAGCGTCGTGGTGATGTTTCAGGCGGCCATTGGCTGATTAGCCTGTGTGAATGGTGGATGCTGCTCCGGCGAATCCGAACACTCAAACTGGAAAACGGAATTAACGATCTGTATGTTTCTTCAACATATTATTATCATTGTTAATGACAGGAACCATAAGAGAAAATAAGCAATCATCCCATACGTAATCCATGAATCACGGCATAAAGTGGCATGGTGGTGTATTACTCAATTTTTTTACATCTTCACATTCTTTAATCATGTTACAGGTATTGTTTGGGAGACAAAGGCCAGTGTTTCCAACATACAATTAGCGGGTCTGCACAGCGCTCTGTGGGTTGCGTCCCTGCATTGGAAACAGATCTAATGGAGTCTGCTGAATGTTATTGACCCTCTTGTGTGTTTTCACTTCGATGAGGTAATCTGAGTAGCGACTGGGCATTCGGGCGTATAAGATTTTGCTCTGGCCACACAGCACAGGCATTCACACAAAAGGATTTTGTTATTCTAGTATTTTTTTAAATCCTTTGTTGTGAGCTTTTTGACAGGACAGATACATGGCTCTGTTCCATTAAGCACTAAAAGATCCCAGCAACAAAGCCGGCTGATTTTGATGCTTTGACTCTGTTGTTCTGAAAGTAGGGTTTAGGGAATCCTACTCCACTCACTAAGCTACTTATGATAAATGAGTTGTGCTACTTGAGTTGAGTTACTTACGTGATCTACGTTTTTCTCGCTCTTGATCGTTGTTTCCTGTCAACGGCCAAAATGATACGGCACTATTTAAATATTGCCGGACGGAATTATCTCCTTTCCTTTCGTAAAGGAAGGTGCAGAGGTTCCTACGCTGAAGGAGCTTAGTAGGGAAGCATTGTAGCTCCTTCATAGCATTAGAGAATTCAAACTGCTCTCATCATGGCGGCCCCTTACACTGCGTCCGGGTCGCTTCACTCAGTTAGGAACCTTCCTGAGCAGATTCGACAATTGCATTCCAGCCTCGGGCTGCAGTCAAAGCTACATACTGGTGGCGTAAGCAGAATGCAGCACACGGTTCATTGTTCATACTGTGCTCATCAGTGTTATGCAGTATAAAACCGTTGAATCAGTTTATTTTGAAGTGTGCTAGAAACAGCTTTTGAAGCATTGGACCACCATTAAATAAAAGCCACATTGACAGGAATTATCAGGCCATTAAGTTACTGTTGTTATCCACCTCCATTTTTACCATGTTCCAGTTTTACTCTGCATTTGCCGTGTCTCCCTCTTGTTTCAGGTGTCTCATGTCTCCCCAGTGTGCTGATTGCAGCTTACCTTCCCGATTGTGTCCACCTGAGTTGCGTTATCTCACCCTCTCACCCATGAGTACTTACTGGTGGTGCTCTGGGTTGTTTGTCTCGGAACAATCATCAGGTGTAACTTAGCTTCAGCAAGCAAGTCTTGTCAGTTTCAATTAAGTCTACAACCTCGTTTCTGTTTTGGGATTGTGTCTCCGCTTGACCCCTTTTGGGCTTTGGGCTCCCACCATGTTTGTGTACTAAACCTGTTTTTAGACCCTTCTGAGAATAAACCCACCCTTGACTTCTACATCCGTCTGCAGAGCCGTGCACCTGAGTCCTCCTGTCGTTACCCAGGTCACGTACTGCACATTAGATTAGATCCCTTCCCTCTCTGTCTGCTGAGATCTGTTTTTAAATTACAAAACCTTTTTATAACTGCAAACCTCTCAACGACTTGTCTCACAATAATCCCGATAACTTGTATTTGTGATCTGTATTGTGAATAGATATAATCCAGACATTGCAGCATGTGAGATTTATCCTGTGCACTCCCTCTGTGAACTGAATGCGTTTTCAAGTAGTCAGCTGCAGGATAAAAAAAGATTTTTATTTTTTTTTACGGACCTGGTGGTAACTGCATGGAAATGGGCCGCTGCGGAACCCGGCAACAGGCCCGCTCGCATATTTTGATGGCACCCTGATCTTTTAAGGAGGCAGAAAACTTGCATTAGTGAAAACACTCCCTAATGGAACACTAATGGCAGAGTGGTGTCTTGGCATTTTAGTCGGCCATTGATTGAAAATGTTAAACTGTCGAGAGCACGCAAATTAACCTTTGGAGTTAAATGTAATGGTCCTTTTTAAAGAAAGTACTAAGAAAACGACAAAAGGTCACATAACTAGACTTTGCCACGCAGATAACGTTTTAATTATATCTTTGCAGTTGTATGAGATGCCAAAAAGTCACTGTACATCATCTTCATAACTAAACACTGCAGGAAATCTTTTTGTCTCTATCATTGGTAGAATAACTGCCTCTCCACGATGACCGTTATTCATTTTGAGCCTCGATAATGAAGCTCTATGGCTCACTTGTTTTCAACAAGAACTGTCCGCGCGGTTTGTTTCTTTTGTTAGATCCATCATCGCTTTGGTGCCATTGTGTATGTGTGTGTGTGTGTGCGCGCAACTGTGCCTGAATGACTGCAAATCCCAAAGCAAGGTTATGAAACCCATTTCCCGTGTTCATCAGCCCTTATTGGTGCTTTAGGAGACAATGTTTGGACTCCTGGTAGATTCATTTAGCATTTGGCTGCTGTGATTTCAACCTCAGTTACCCGACATGTTCCCTTTCCAAGACTTAATTTAATGCAAAACGTAACAGAAGTTGTCACAATCCTCCATCAGTCCCCCACCCTGCTTGTAGGGTATACATATAGTATCTGGTGTTACACACAGGGGCCTTCAGGATTCAAGTAGAAAACAGGAGACTCAGACGCTAATCATGTAATAAAACGTGTCCTTTATTAGTAACTTAGCGTAAAAAGGGGACACGGTTAAATTCAACAAAAGGTTCGTCCCAGTCTTGGGTCTTCGGCCTTTGGTCCACACGCATGTGAGACGGTTCCTTCCTCCTGTGTTGTGCTGCAAGCGAGATTTGTTCATGCAGATCCAGACCGGCCCTCCTCCAGTCAAGGAGGTCACGTTTGCATCTTACCTTTGGATTTCAGTCCACCTTGAGTGCTTCTTGAACGTACTTCGACTTAAGCTGGCTATCCGAACGCTGGTGTGTTAGACGTCAGGCCTCTTTGGCCCCTTTGATGCCGGTGTTCTATCGGTTATCACACACTTGGGCTGCAACACATTATATTGTAATACTTCACGCATGTGGGCCTTTGTTTTTTTAAATGGTTGCCGCAGCTGACAAAGGAGAAAAATCACTTTTAATTTAAACTGATTATCACCAAACCAGTGTGGCGTGAAACCCCAATAATGTTAATAATAACGAACATCCGCCGGGCTCAAGCAGCCAGTTGGCTGAGGCTAGTGCGCAGGACCAAGGAGGGCTATAAAACGGTTCATTGCAGGTGACATCGTCTTGAGGGCATTCTGCCAATATAAAGGCTGAAAACCCATTTATTCATGAGCAGCAATTCATATTCGTTACTGTTTCAGATCTGCGTAACCTGACCGATCGACTGAGATGACCTGAAAATACAGAAACAATTTTAAAGTAAAGTGCAAGTATAGACACATTATGTATTTACGTACACATAATCATACTAATTTAAATGACTTGATACCCACCTTCAGTGGCCAATTTACACAGTCTAATGCAACCGTTCGGCTATATATTTTTTTATACCTTTTTCTGTTTTTTTGCACTGGGATGTTATTAGTCGCTGGATTCCATTGTACTGAGAGGTGTTTTTAAATTCAGCTCCCCTCCCGTGTACGTACTGTAAATGGTAAGAATGGAAGAAATACAAACATGTGGCAATGAATCCAGCTCACCACTGCCTCCAGCTTTGACCTCAATTTAAAAAGAAATGGAATTTACACATTTGTGACGATGTTTCCAAAAGTGGAACAATCTGTGTGGAGGTAATTTATGGCAGGGCTCTTGTACTGAATTGCAATAGGTTGAACAGGTGTACCCATAAAGTGGCCGCTGAGTGAACAATAATACATTGTGTTATTCATAATTGGTCAAATGAGCCGCTGTCAAATAAATGTAGTGAAGCGAACGGTAAAATAGTTCCCACTAAAATATAAATACATAAGTATCAGCGGCTTTTCAAAGCTTTTATTACAAGCGCTGAAATTAACACACTAATTATTTCCAGTCCACCAATTAGAAGAAGCTGATTTATTATACCAAAGAAGAATCACCCATTGTACTTTATGTTCTGAGGAAAAATAATTAGATGAATCAAATGAATCCTGACATTATAAGTTAATGCCTCTGGTCCAAACTCTGCATGCACGTTTTTGAGAGTACGCTGGTTACACATCGCGTGCCGGCAGCACCGCTGACGTCTGATGTCTCTCCGTCTGCATGTGGAGGGAGCGAAGGTGGCAACTCTCTGTCCGGGTCCCAGCTGTGGCTGAGCGAGGTCACAGCTACCCGCCTGCTATCATCCGGACTTGGATGCCTGCAGATGACAGCGGATGATTGACGGCAAACCTTATCAAATGGATTTGACATTCAGATCCCGGGGATCGGAGGAGCAGACGCCGGGCTCAGAGGGCATTGACGAAGGCTGTCTGAGGTCCTGAACGTCTGCTGGAGGTCTGCACGTGTATGATAAGTCTCATTGGGGTTTTCTTTCCACCATTTGGTCACGTTTCCATTCATTCAGATTGCGGTCATAAAAGCCCAGCGGATTGCTTTCATAGCAGTGTTCTACACAGAGGGTTTACATGAGAGCTGATCGTCCATCTTGAAGAATCAGGATGCCACTCGAAGAAGAAGTTGATTTACCTCCACGACGAAAGTTGTGTCCTACACGATGACATACGCTTTTCACAGAAATTGGATGTTGAAATGGTACAGACGTCGATGATATTCATTCAATGCAAAATAAGCCCAATATCTGCTGACCCCTCAAGGTTTCACCACACAGTCGGAACTAAATGATGACCCCTCACATTGAATAGTCAAACAATCTGTTGTCCTCCATTTCTTTATTCATTTTTTAATCTATTTTTTTTGAGAAGCCAATGATTAAATCCGTTCCAAACATGAAAATGGTGCTTTTGTGAGACTATTTGCGTCTAAAGTCAGTTTCTCACATCTTTTAATGAATTGAGAGATCATTTTTTTAGTCAAGGACTGCCCTAATTTACTGCCTTTTTATTTCCTCATCAAAAAGGTTTAAGGAATGGATTTATACTTTTCTTGATAAATAGCTGCTGAAAATTGGGATAGACACACGGTGTAAAAAGCCTTGGCAGTGTATTTAATGAAACAGTTCTTGTTTTTTTGAAAAAACAGATAAAGGATCTGCTGCTTTTATCTTTCTGTGGAATTGAGAATGTCCCTTTTTCATTTTGCGATGTCCCTCAAACCTCAATACAAACTGTCAACAAAAGTCTATTTCTACTGTAAAAGGAGGCATTCAAAGAACGCCTTGAAGTGGCTCGCTGTGATAAACACTCGATTCGTCTCTTGAGTGTTTCGCCGTATGTGTTTCGTTTTGTCCTTTGTCTTTAAAAACCTAGGTGAAATTCTCCTCTGAGAAGGTTTTTCATGCCACAGCAGTGTAGTAGAACTGGATCACAGGCTCGTCTGTTTATTTGATTTTGTGATGAGAAGGTTGAATCATTAAAGGGAGCGTCCCGTTCCTCCCGTTAGTCCTTGAGCAAACCCAGGCACAGTGACGTGTGACGTGTGAAGGCTTTTTAAAAGCATCGCATTAACACAACCGGCGTTGTGTCAGGAAGTCGCCTGTGGTTGTCTGGGTTATTGTCAGAAAGAAACATACACATTTGGATACACGCAATCATGGGTATTGGACTCTTTTGTGACATTACCCTCGTTAAGGATAGCGCGCTTGAATCACCCTCAGTCACCTTGCTGCTCTTCCACACACACACACACACACACACACACACACACACACAGTTAATTAGAGAGTGAGGCTGACGGGGAAAGAGAGGAGCTCCGAGGGCCTCTTCCTCCATCAGCGGCTCCCAACCAATCTCACCAATCATCTGTAATCAGGTTTGACCCTGACTGCGAGGGGGGGAAAAAAAAGAGGCGGTGAGCTTGTGATTCAGTCTCAGCGCTCAGACTGAGTGCTTCCACTCCCCCCTGCTACCTGCACATGAGTTTATAACCTGATTAAAGCTCATGGAAAGCTTTGAAGCTGCATCCAAATTCACTCCCTGGTTGAAGGAAGTGGATCCTAACTCACACCAGGTGCCGAGTGGAACTTTGTGTTTGGGTGAAATGGGTGTTGAATATTTCATAAATTGGTAACATTGTTTGAGCTCACGGCTTTCGTATTGTTAATTCAATCCGCTCCTCAACATTGAAGGAACCCATCAGTGGGTCAGCAGTAGTCTCCCCAATACATCATTTTGTGCAAAAGTGCAAAAAAAGTGGGCAAAGGGCAGAGAGATTAAATCACGCCCTGTTCGGTATAAGGGAAGCTTTGATGAGGCATCTGAAGACATTAGCGCTAAAGTAGCTCGAAAAAAATGTTACACGGGGCACTGAATGTGATGGATTTTGGGGACTTGCCAATGTGGCTTTAAAAAACAAAAATTGAGCCATTTACCTCTGAAAACGTCCATCTGTTCTCTTCACTGCTGTTGGCTCTGCTCATCATGCAACCACTGTAACATTGAAAACTGGGTTCAATCTACTTTAAAATGTGAAATAAAAATATGAATAAAGCAAGATATGTGAAAATTTGGATAAGTATTAAACCAAATCCATTGGTCACATTCTTTAGTATACAACTTAAAATTGCATTGAGCAGTTACTCTTAAACAGTGTTTTATTTAGTAACTTATGCATATTTGCTTTCTTGGCAAGAATTCAATTAGATATCCTACTACTTTCATATCTGTGTGTTGATACAAACAGACTTCCCGTGCACATCAGTGTTGTTGAGGCGGTGTTGGTACCAGTGAATCCAGTGTATCAATCAATACAGAGGATTTTTTAGCAACAATTCTGAAGCTAGAAGTACAGCAATATTAGCTTGACGTTTGATGGTGTTAAGTCAGAAAAATAAATATATAACATCCTCCAGCAGAACAATTGTCAAAGTAAAGCATATTTTCCAACAGCCCACAATCAGACAGAAACAATTGCATTCAAAACATCAATGCCAGCAAAAACCGAGCAACGCCTGCTGTCACTCAACCCCTCGCGCACCCGTACCAGTGTTCATGCTAAGCTTACTGCTGATCGTACCTCCGGGTTCAGCATAGACGCAAGAGAGCGTTGCCAGATTCTCACCCAAATCTCACTAGGAACATGCATCTCCCAAGATCTTTTCCTTTTAATAAATGCCAAAAAAAAGCCTTCCCAACGACCTTCTTTTCATTAGATCTGCTCATTAATCTATACTTACCCTGCAGCATGTCGGCCACTGCAGCATCTGCCAGGTGTAAGGAGGGAGCAGGTGGCCGGGAAAGGCCCGGTGGTGGTGAACATAATGTCTGTCCTATCATCATCTCCATGTGGACGCATGGCTTCACATGGACGCACGGCTGCCTGAGAGGAACATTTCGGGCGCTGCAGATGCTCTCTCTCTCTCTCTCTCTCTCTCTCTTCTCCTCTGCACACCATCACAATCACACACTCGCAGATGTACGATTGCGTTCATGGCCGCTGTTGCGATTACTCTTGCGAAGTTGAACGAATCCATCAGAAGTAAGTGAAGAAACTGAGGCGGCTCATTTGCCGCGGCGGTCTTCTCCGTTTCTCTGGAGATTTCGGGAAAGTCAAAAGGAAAGTCAGTTATACCGTCAGGTTGCTTTAAGGTTTAAGAGGACACGGTGGGCAAATGATGTTTAACTGCTGAATCCCTCAAATTAAAAATAGCTAACATTCAAAGAGCACACAGCAAAGAACTAAACGGATTTAATGTGTGACGAGCAGGCGTCAGACGACTTTTACAACCACATTTAAATTGCGTTTTCACAATGACTGAACATTTGTCACACTGCTGACGACGACGATAAGCTCTTATATTACGAGGGAGTGCTTTTTAATGTTCGCCTTCAAGGGGAGGAAGAGAGCGGGAAGGAATCCAATTTCCATCTTTTTCACAAAAGCTATTTCTAGGGGTTCTCAGTCCTTTACGCCTTTATTTAATCAGAATTTACAGTGCTGCGATAAAAAAATAAAGTGTGTGTCATTGTGCCTCTTACATGTCACAGATTAGGTTAAAAATAGTTTTATTGCGTTGAGCAACATATTGGATTTATTTGTTTCTGATCTGCTTTTATGAGGTATTTGCTGTGGTTTGTGCAATAAAACACAAAGGCTCTTTGTATCAGAGGTCAACGTGCTGGGTTTTGCTCCACCTAAAACTTTTGACATTTGTGCTACGTGCATGTGTTTGCGTATATATGTTTGCACCATGTGTGTGTGTGAGATAAAGGCAGCACCATTAGAGAGACACTGAAATTGCAGTTAGATGAGTCAGGGATCACTCGGAGATTAGCATCATTAACCTCCGAGGCTGAGGTCGCCTTTCCAGGCTTCTGTTTTTTCAGGCATGGAATTCTGCAGTGGAAAGAATGCAGGTTTTTTTCATATGAGATCTTCCTCCACATTTTTCATCTTTTTATTATTATATAAAAGAACTGAATTCGATACAATAAATCAATTTTGACACAATTCAGCAATAGGAAAAAAAAAACGTACTCTTGTCAAGTTCTTCCACCACACAGAAAGCCGGGGGGAGCAGTGCTGGCATTTCAGTCCTCCGTCTCCATGTTTTCAGGTTTAGGTCACAAAATAAAAATCTTTGAAGGATAGGAAATGAAAAAATAAACACGTCCTGTGTTGTGAATAAAGGCATCATTTAAACTTTTAAACTACCAATATTTAACCGAGGCCACAATCTCTCCCTAACTTGATCACCGCCCTTCAGTTGCTTGAACCTTATTTTATAAATGACGCTGTGTTCATTTTTTTTGCTGAGGAAAACAAAATAAAGATTGAACATTTTAGAGAAATGTTCCATATTAATATTTTGTGGTTTTGTCATTACAATATTTTAAAATACTTCCTCTTTACTGAATGTTCATGGAAAAACTTTAAAAAAACTAGTTTAAGATATGTGCATAATATTAATACATCAACATATTAATATGACACAACTACGGAGTGAAATATGAGTTCCCTTCACCGATCCTTGGCTCATCTGAGGCATCCAATGTTTATATTAACAACAGGATTGAAGGTTAATATAATGAAAAAAAATGAGCTTTAATAAACCATAATTATCCTTAAACAGCTTTCCTTGATCTCAGTTTTTTATTATTATTTTTCCAAGAGGATAGGCTGGATTAAGTGTTCCTTACCCATCCATCTGCCTGAGGCTTTTCTCCCCCACTTGCCTCTCGTGCATTCTCCCCTGCCATACTGATCAAAGACCCACCGGCAGGTGATGTCCACGCTGCCCGCAGCCACCCGTCAACAATGACCATTCATTCATTTTCACACGGGCCCCCGAGGTCCGAGGCCACAGAGCCACAATCATGAAAGCCTCAGCCGCTCAGCCCCGATGGCAGAGAGCGGCACGCCGGCTCCCAGCTGATGAACGAGCTGACAAAGCCTCCTCCCCCGTAAGTCATTTTCCCTCCCGAGGAAGCACGGAAAAGAGAAAGGCGGGGAGGGAGGGAGGGAGAAACAGGAATACGGAAAGAAAAAAAAAAATGAATTGACTTTGCAGCACGGCTATTTTTGGTGAGCCCGTAATGTGCTCTGTTAGTTTTGGAGGGGATGGGAAAGGTGAGAAGAATGTGCTTGATGCAGACAGGTTGCAGATAAGATAGATTTTAGAATAATGAGGCAACGGGGAGGAAAAGACAAATAACAAGTGCACATGACAAGATGGTTTGTTTATAATCATTCGTTGAACTCTCTGTTGCTTCACAATGACTCAATTCAGACATCCACTGTGGGTTTTTTCCTCAAACTGATAAATGTTTAAAGAGTAAGAGGAGAAATGTATACGTCTGTTATCTTCCATGACAGTTAATTACAAAATACAACCTCTGCAATGTTTCGTTACGTATTTGGCCTTTTTTAACCGCCAATTTTGTATTCCTCACAAAAAACAAAACTGGTCTCCTCAACCAGCTGGCAGACTGCGAGGTCGGTTTATTTTTCCCTCCACCACTCAATCTGTGTTAGGTGACTAAAAATAACTGCTTGGAGGGACATATTTAAAAAGGCAGCTGGCCAGAGGTTTGGGATCAGACAGTATTGAGACTTAGCTTGGAAAGGACAGGAGTGTGTATATGTAGATAACAAGGGGCGGACACTGTGTGGGGTAATGTTCGGGCCATGCAGGCTGGTTGATCACATCTACAATACTCTTCCTCATACCTTTTCTGTGGCTGCTGTTGAACCATAATGAACAACAAGTCCCTGGTCGGCCATTTTTGTTCTGTGTGGCCTATAGGGGGACTAATATTTCCTGGCAACCCGGCGCTGCAGACACATTAGCAATAAATAAAGCAACATGCTCTTCATACTGCACCTCTAGTGGGTCTTAAAACTGGAGTCTTCCTCGCCCAGGACTACCCACATGGGTGAAACAATCCTTTTAGAGGGAGTCTTATTGAAATAGAGGGATGTCAGGGGAAATTACGCGGGTATCGAGTAGACTTTAATGCTTCCTCAACATCCATCATACCAGCTTTTACAATACAGCGCAGATAAAGTCTTGTCCTCCGGATCGCGGTGAGAGGTGACGTCTTCGGCACCCTGCTCCGCTTCATTAACCGTTAAAGATTCATCTCTCAGTTATTCCATCTGGTTGGTCACAGAATGAGAGTTCAGAGCAGCACGTACATAGTGCCGGTTTTTAAAACTCCGGCTGCAGATCTGCAGCTTTTCTTTGAACAAACGAGTGTTTGAATGACGTTTTGGGGTCACTTGTTTTGTTTGACCACAGCAGTGTATTAAGCTGCAAACAGAAAGGCAGTGGGCTGGGAGGGATAAAAGTGGGGAAAAGTTGTTTGCGATTTATATGTCGAGCAAACCAAGATGTGGCCACAATCACAATTCAGTAACCTCATGTGTCTCATGTTGGATCTCTAAAAACAACAAGCATCCTCATTCTCTAATGGGCCTGAATGCAACCGGAATACACTCCTCCCCTCTCTATCATCTCTGCAAGATGCATCGGGAAGATGTATGGTGGGCTGGATGCCATCACTGAGTTTAAAAAATGACCAAAGCATGATTCTTCTTGGTAACTTGCCAACCCGTTCTCCTCTCGATTGTAGCAGAGAAAGTGCAGGATCAGGGTGGTTCTTTGGTTGAATATGTCAACCTGACTCTTTGACCCTTGACCTGATTGAGGTTTGTGCAAGTTTGGAATTCTGATTACTGAATTCTGAGTCCCACCTTTCTGTCAGTTTCATCACAGATTGATAATATTCCCTAAACTAAGTATATGACTATTATAAGATACAAAAACAAAATAGTTGTTCATAGGAGGGGGGGTTAGAAATTGACAAGTTACCGACATGGTGTTTGTTAAATTAAAATGAGTCTAGTTTGATTCAATATGATATGATTTCTCCAATCTTGTTTATTTGCAATAAGTATAACATATTCTGCAAGGAAGTAGGTTACTAGCCAATGTTAAGGGGGGGTTACACTTAGTTAGTATCAACTGTGTCTTTATTACAGGTCATTGCACTCTTTTCAATAATTGAAATCTTGATTGTTTTATTCTTATTTAATTCAAACATTGCTGGTCTCATGGAGCGTTTGAAATCATAAATGTGAATTCCCGGATTAGTGTTTCTTCTCCACCAACTGTGACCTCTTCATTTGTGGATGTTGTTCATCCCTCTAAAAACCCTGGATTTTCCATTATTTGGCCCACAATAAACCCACATCTCAAAAGAGGCGTAAACTAGTTCAAAACAGGAAAAGAAATGATGGAGAATTCCTGTAACTGTGACTCAGTAGCTGGGTGGAAAAAGTCATTTGGGGCGAGCAGGGGCTCCTGCGGGCAATTCCTAAATGAAAACTGCTTGTGAATCGCACCAGATGTTTCTCTACGGTTGAAAATAAAGTAAAACAGTTTTTTCAAACACCCCCTTCTTTTTTGCTCCTCGTCCAAATAGGTTTGAATCGATCTGAGAGAATAGCGGGCTGAAACACCAACACAGCACGGGGGGGTCGACCGGAGGTCTGGAGGAGCCTTTTTACGGGTCGCCGCAGTAACCAGCTCAATGAAAACGTGTATTTACGGTCACTGGCTTTATATCAACGACTCAAACTAAGATGTTTTGGTAAACTTCAATGTTTTTTTAGAAGTACTTTTAATGATTGGATTCAAGACCATTAAAAAATGAAATTGTTAATTGTTCTCCAAAAACACACGGAATAGTGTATTAGACAAACTCTATTTAAATGGGGCTCACCGAGGTAATAATAAGTAATAAGTTAAGTTACTTTGTGTGTATTTTTGACCGAGCAGATTTGGTCACATTTTCAGC